CAAACTGGTATTAACATTGGTATTAACAAATAAAACGTAAACAGAAAGGACTCTTTCCCTCCAGCAACAACTTTTTATTTAATTCAGTTCAATGAACTTTTGTGTAGGCACAACAAATTCAATAAAATATAGTTTGTGTATTTATATTATTAGAAATTAAAAGCTATCACCCTGCCTTACAAGTAATTTTTCAAGGTAAGAAGTAAATTCAGTATGTATAAAAGAGTAAGATCACAAATTAATAGGATATAGGACTAAAAGCAGCATCAAGAATGTGTTCGTTTCCCCACAGATTATAGAAATACATGCACGTGGTGCTAGAAAGGACCTTGAAAATCATCTGATCTAATGCCCTGACTTTACAGAAAAGGAAACAGGTTATTCTTGAACCCATATCTCCTGACTCTAAGTCTAGCATTTTTTCTACTGCATCCCTCTGCTTTTCAATTCATGAAGAATAGTCCTTCCATAAATGCCACTTGAGTCTCTTGGCCTCTCTCCTGAGAAAGCAAACAAAGCCACCAATTAATGTCAACAAAAAGACATATTGTATTTTTTTTAACTTTCCACAATGGAGACAATTATCTCCAGTGATTTAGAAGACCCAGACTACTCAGATCACTAAAGGGGTTCTTGAATGCCAGCCAAAGGAGTAGTAGGCAAAAGGAAGCCGCTGATAACAACAACAATAATAACAACACGAAGAACATGTGAGATAATATATATAAAGAATTTTGCAAACAAAAAGCACTACATGTTATCTATAATAATAACCGTTGTTATTACTATCAGTATTTCTCGTAGCTAGCATTTACATAGTGCTTTAAAGGAGTTGTGTCAAACACATTGCCCACGGGCCACATGCAGCCCACAACACTCCCCAATATGGCCTAAATCTGATTAAAATGCAATTGGTATATATTTAACAAAATAAATGAAAATATAATAAAACACAGATGATGTTGATATGTAGTTTTCTAAGTCAATATTCCACAAGGGATCCTCATGTATGGTTTAATTGCCTCTGTTTCTACTTGAGTTGGACACCACTGCTTCAAGATTTACAAAGCATTGGGGCAGCTAGATGGCACAGTGGATAGAGCACCAGCCCTGGATTCAGGAGGACCTTAGTTCAAATCTGACCTCAGACACATAATACTTACTAGCTGTGTGACCCTGGGCAAATCACTTAACCCCATTGCCTAGGCAAAAGAAAAAAAAAGATTTATGAAGCATTTTACATGTGGCATCTCATCTGATCCTTGTTCAATTTTGGCAGGTGGGTGCAATGATTATCATCCTCATTTTATAGATGAGGAAACTGAAGCTGAGAAAGGTTTAGTGACAAGGTCACACAGCCAGTATACCTCTGAGGGAAGATTCGAACTTGGGTCTTTGCTGATTCCAAATTCAGCACTCTCCTCTAAGAAACTTAGCTGTCCCTCTTTGTGAAGGACAAGAGAACTGAAATGAAACTGGTTCTAGAGAGGGGTTGACCCAAATCCAGAAAGCAAGGGTTGAGGTAGGGTGGATGGGGGAAATCCTCCTGAAACCAAGCCTCAGAATCAAGAATTAATTGGTGACATCAGCTTATAAGATCAGTAAGTGGTTGTGGAGGAAGGGTAGGAGAAGGGCACAAATATCTCCCACTGACTGGCCACTGATACTTACTCCCCTCTACTACAGAAAAGTGAGGGCAGTGCTAAAATGCTTTCATGCCTAAAGAAGAAATCTTCCACAGTGTTGCACTACCTTGCACATGCCACAGAGCTGGTTCAATGAACGGGAGCTAATGAGGAGGGAAATAACAGCAGCTCAGCCACTACGGCAGCCTTCAAAATTCTTTAAGTCATCTCCCAGGATGGACAATATTACCCCTTCCAGAGATGGGAAGCCTGCTTAGAAAGACCTCCATGAAGAAAGTTTTTTCTTATCCACAGACCTTTCCTTCTTATGCATAGACCTGGTCATATACATACTGTGCTAAAAAACATTCAGTGACTCCCTACCACCTACACAGTACCATTCAAACTCCTTGTCCTGACATTCAAAGCCTCCAAAACCTGGTATCATCCTACTTTTCCAACCTTCTCTCAAATTACTCCCTTCCATGAATTCTTATGTCCCAGCAAGACTGGACTTAACTGTTCTCTAAACAGACCTGCACGTTCCCATCTCTGTTTCTTTGCTTATACACTTTTCCCTACGCCTGGAATATAATCACTTCCCTTCAGACTACTGAATGTCTACCCCAGATTTCTCTATTTCTCAAATTGGTAAAGATATAACATACCCCTCTCTTCTATACTTAGATATTAATTAACAATAGACATCCCATTATTTGTGTACTTGGGCTCAGATTTGATTCTAAGTTTTATGAGGGCAAGGAAATGTTTATATCTGCCTTAGTTCCTATCACAGACCTACGTAATAGAAGTATAAAAAATGTTTGCGAAATTAAAAGCATTCAGCCATATTGGGGAGTGTTGTAGGCTGCATGTGGCCCATGGGCAATTTGTTTGACACAACTCCTTTAAAGCACTATGTAAATGCTAGCTACGAGCATTCAGTCCTAATTCATTATGATACATTTATTTTTGAAAATAGATTTTATTGATATATTTTATTTTTATATGGATGTATATTTATGGATGGACATATATGTATATTTATAATATATACCTACATTTCCAAGTGCATTCCTATCCCTGGAGCTCTCCTTTAATATAAAACCATGGGTTTACAAAACACTTTTCTCACAACATCCCTTTGCGGTAGTAGATGATACAAGTATTTATCAACCTCATTTTACAGATGAGGAAAGAATCACCCTCTCCTCTATCTCAGAGAATCATCCTTTATAACAAATAATAAAAAGGAAAAAAAGCAGTTGAGCAAAATGAGTGAACATGCTGAAAAGTCTGACCATATTATTAGCATCTCAGAATAGCGCCAAGTAGAATCAAGAAGTACCTACTCATATCTATTCTGTGAAAAATGATTTCTCTTAGTAATCTATGTCTTAGAGACTCAAAGCTCCCAGCTCCTCTTCTGTTCCAAAGTTCTTCAGAAGGACATTACTGATAATGAGATTGCATTGAATCTTCTTATCCTAGTCAAACTCCAACCCAGGCCTGAATTGATTTTTATCCTACTCAGGCTTGGGTGGAGACAGATTTCTTCTGCCTAGATAGATAGCCCCAAAACTGGGGGTGGTATTTCCTCAGTCCAGATGGTGAATGATACAGCCCCTATTGACCTAGATTAAGTGACCTAAGTCACTTACTCAACACTCATTTTAATATAACCCACCTCCCAGTGTTTTGACCAATCAGAGTAGATTGGCATTCCTTGAGACCACCTACTCTTCAAAGGGCATATAATCCTGTATCCCCAAATCCCAAATTGAGTCAGTTCTGAATTGGCCCCCTTAGGGGGGCCCAGTTTTGGACTGAACTCCCATGCAATGCATGTCAAGCCAGACTGAGAGAAATTAAACCATGGACACATGTACCCTAATTTCATTTGTCTCTTTCTAAGATCAGATTCTGTAATAAATTGGGATTCGATACTTCTTTGGGGACAAGCTTGTTTCTATAATTTCAGATCATTCAGTTTCAATTGTTTCATTACTGTTCTTTCCATTTATGCTGTTGTAGTCATTGTATACATTGTTCTCCTCATTCTAATTACTTTACTTTCCATTAGTTCATAAAAGTTTCCCTATGTCTCTGTATTCTTCATATTTATCTTTTCTTAGGGCACAATAACATTTCATTAAATTCATGCACCACAATTTGTTTAGCTATTCTCCAGTTGATAGACACTTATTTTATTTCTGGTTCTTTGCCATCACAAAAACTGCTACTATAAATATTTTGATACATATGTCATTGACATCCTTAGGGTATACACCTAGCAGTAGAATCTCTAAGTTTAAGAGTATGGATGTTTTAGTCATTTTAGTTCCTTTTTTTTTTTAGCATAATTCTAAATATCTTTCCAGAATGCCTGGACCAATTCACAGCTTCACCAAAAGTGCATTAGCCAGCAAACAACAATCTTTTCAAAATTGACTATTCCCTTCTTGCGTCATCTCTGCCAATTTGCTCAGGATGAGGTGAAATCTGATTTGTGTTTCTTTTACTTTTAATGATCTGGGTATTTTTCAAATAGCTGCTAATAGTTTGAATTCTTCTTTCTTTTCAATACAGTTGTTAATAGTTTGTAACTCTTTGCAATTCTTTAGATAAAGTGACTTTATTTATAATCTAATCCAATGAAAAGAAACAAAGCTGAATTTTCTTATACATACATTTTTGTGTGTAAATACATCCACATACACACACTCATATATACCAATAATTTTTTTCATGTTAAAAAAATTAAAATCAATAATCAAATAAACAAAATTAGGAATAAGTCCCAAATAAAATCTTTAAATACCACTACTAACTTTTTTATAATTCACTACTTGCTTACCAAGGTAGTCAATGACATCTTAAGTAATTTCCTCCTCACCATCATACAACTGTTAGGATAAAACATAGGCTCAAATTTGAAGAAGACCTTAGAGGCCATCTACTCTAATCCCTTCACTTTACAAATGAGAAAATTGAGGCCCAAAGAGATTAAGGGACTAGCTCAGAGTCCAAGAACAACTTAATTAGTGTCTGAGACTGGGTTTGAATCAGGATATTCCTGTTTTCAAGTCCAGCTCTTTTTTAGACTGCCACCAACTTGACGCAGCTCCCCAAAAGAGATGTCAAACTGAATGAACCTGCTCCTCATGCCTCCACAGTGAAAGGAAAAACTATAGCATGGAGAGCTTGTTGCCTGCAGGGACAAATCTTCTGAGGAGGAAGGCCTTTCAGGTGTCACTGTAAAACTGAAAACTCAGGGAACATGCAGGGGCTGTAACAAACTTGGTTTATCAGATCTTGATAAAGGAGTGATGATGGTGCACCAGATAATGCAAGAGGAAGCCCAACTGTACTCACAGCCTCGATCCTTCAGGTCACACGGGAGGCATCACCAGGGTTGAATGACAACAGCCCTCAGGGAGTACTGATGTTTCCTGTCAATGAGAAATGAGTCGGTTATTATAGACCTGCAGATCCAGGGTGGATTTTCAGTGAAATCTTCCCTCAAAGAGACTAAAAATAAACTTGCAGTGGCACTTAGGAGGTGACATTTTCAACCCAGTGATTGCTTCTGAATTAAAGAATGAGAGTATCAATACTATAGGAAGACCTTTGTTTTGTTTTTTAAAAAACAGATCCTAAGATCACTTGATCTATTTCCCAGGAATTGGGATTCTGAATCTACCCTTTACAAACAGGGTGAATCAGGTTTTGATAATAACACTGAAATACTGCCAGAATAAGTAATATGGTAACAACCCTTCCTTTCTTTCTTCCCACATAAAATGGTAAAGGAAATAGTTGCTTTGCAGTGAACCCCGCAGTGACTTACCTAAGAATCATTACACTGAAATAGAATGTCATTGTAGTAAGAACTCAGCTGTCCATAAGCCTAGGGCAAGTGTCTCTTAACTGCTAAGTTTTCTGGATAGCTGAAGGCCTGTTCTTTTAAATAACCTCACCATCCACCCCCTACTCCCAATCCCACCCCCCACACGCATATTTTGGCATTACACACTTTCCTACTTTCTTAAACCAAAATATAATTAAATATTTTCTTGATTACTCAAATTTGTTTTGAGGAACAGTAATTACTGCACCTTACTATAATAAAGTGATGTCCCAAGGGCCTTGTAAAGAAAGGGAGGCCTGTTAACTGGGAGAGTGAGCAAACTACAAGTCTACTGGAGTCATTTTTATTTCAGGTGATGTGAACATTATTCAATTTACCCTGGGTGATGGGACCTAAACCCCTAAAAGGAAAAGACCCTGTCTTTGAAAACAACCCAGTCCCTGAATTTTCCCAGACATTTCAGCAGCCCAGGTTATTGGCGGCTCACCCAAGGCATCTGGCCCATCTCAGCCTACCTAGATGCCCAACAGTCCTTTCACAGTGGCTTTCAGCCCACCCCAGATGACTTAACTCCTTTCACTGTCTCACCTGACCCACCCTAGGCTACTTAATACTCCTTAATCTCATCAAGATATTCTCACTGTCTCTTTCTGTATATAAGTATCAACCTCACCCCCATCAAATTGCAGATTATTAGGAATCTAGCCCGCACTATTGGCAGTTAATAAACCTTGCTACTTTAACTGGAAGACAGTTTGAGTGCTTGAATTCTTTCCAGGCAGATACCTCTGTACCCTGACATTTTGGGGTTACCAGCACCCCAACCATATCATATTCTTGTTAGTTTCTTAGTGAAGGGTAGAAAAACTTAGCCTAACTGATTATGTCTTAATGTGGGCAGAATACCAACCAAGTTAGCATTCAATCAGGAGGTCTACCATGATTAGTTGAGGTTGTGAGCCTGTGACTAGAAGAATGAACTAGTGAGATTAATCCAGCGATGTTTTGGGAGGCATTACCCAAATTAGAGGTATTCTGGGACTACATACTCTATTTTCATATCCATTAAGGAAATGGATATCATGTGATCATGGGTGATCCTAGGCCTGTGAAACTTTAGTTAAGGATTAGGTTAGAAACCTTAGGAACCCCTTTATCTCTGTCTGGGGTAGATTTCTTATCTATTTCTAAACTGCCTTACCCTTGTATGTGCTTTCAGAATTTGTATATAGGGGCAGCTAGGTGGCACAGTGAATAGAGTGCCGGCCCTGGAGTCAGGAGGACCTGAGTTCAAATCCGGCCTCAGACACATAACACTAGCTGTGTGACTCTGGGCAAGTCACTTAACCCCAGCTGCCTCATATTAAAAAAAAAAACAACAAAAAAATGGAATTTGTATATATCCTTTTCACTTGAAAATGAATAAGAGAAAACTCTCTCTTACAGTTTGTAGGGAGTAGAGAGAAGATTTTGAAGGAAACAGGTATGAGGACTGAGGGTCAGGAGACAGTAACAGGATTTGGGGATGGAGAGTAGAATTTAGATGTTTAAGCTTTCTGAATCCAAGGAGCTAAGGCAACCATGAGGCCAAGAAGGTTCAGAAAGCTTAGACCCTAAAGTGGGAGTTTAGCCATCAAAAAACTTTTTAAAGCAGTAAAATCTTAGAACCTTGAAGAAGAAGACAAAGCTTCCCTGGGTCTACTCCAAGAAATGGAGAAGATGACAACTTTCAGTAGGCCTAAACTAGACCCAAGACTAGATACCTCACAACAATTAGCCCCAACACTAAATAGTCCCAGACAGCTCTGCTTTTTGAATTCTTTTTTTTTTTAAACAGCTTTTCTGCTTTATCTTTCAATGACAGACATTTCTTATCACAATCAGTATGCCTATGGCTAGCAGCCTACAGCTTCTCTGGAAGCTTGGACATTAAATAGTCATGATTAGCATTGTGTTAAAAATGAGAAGAAAGAGGCCCTCAGCGAGAATCTATGGAAGAGTTTTTCCTATGACTAAAGCATATAAGTTTTAATGCATGAATGTAATGACATTTACTTGGACTTTTTGAAAGACTTTTTTTTTCTTATTTCTTGGTTCTTAGTGGTACCTGGGTAAGTGAGGTTTCCAAAGCAGTGAGCTCTACAAAACAGGGTTTTTTTTTATCTTTTTAAGTGTTCAATACTCAAAAGCTTACAAAACCTGCCACCTAATCACAGAATCTGTGGATTGAACAGGCCCATTTTCTAGGAACCTTCCAAGAATCACCCACAAGTACACAAAGCTTTTTCTCTCCCTTTCCTTTTAAGGCAATTTGTTTCAATTCACTGGTTTGCATTTACAACAGGATAAATGGATTTTAAAGTTTTTCCCAGTGTGAAGAATTACAGACTCATTGCTTTCCCTCTCTGGCCCTGGGACTGCTGAGAGATGTAGAGCCTGCATCCTGGGTCCTTCCTTGCACTCAAGACCTGGGGGGAAAGGAGCAAGAATGTGGAGACTCTGCCTAGTCTTGGACCCTGGCCCTCTCTGGCCCTGTCACTGCCAAAAGCATCAGAGCCTGACCCTGGACCCCTCCTTGGCCCTTCTACTTTATTTTTAAGAACTTGCAGTAAGTATTTTGTTTCTTCTAGACAAAAGCCAAAAGCTTATTTATAATTCTGATATAAAAACTAGTGATATAACATTAAAAGCCCACAAATCATAAACAAGCTTCTTGGGAAAAACAAAAACCCATGAATTCTTCTAATATTGAGGGATGAAACCTGAGACAAAATGTAATGGCTAGATTAAAGCACACTATTCTCATCCACTTTCACTCAATCCCAAATTCTTTCAATAAAATGAATGGTATAAATGATCTAGAACTCTTTCCAGGATGCTCTAAAACAATCTGAATCTCTAATCAAAGTTTCTTGGAAATTTCAAAAAAGGTTTGGTAGTAAGCCCCAACTTAAAAATGACCAAGAGAAGAAGGAAGACATGCTGGCAAGAGACCAATAAGGCAAGTTAATATGGTTCTTTCAAAGTATCCCAATCCTCCAGTAAGAAAAATCTGACACCTTCCCAGAACACAATTTGCCTTATTCAACTGGTTATCTAATCATTTAGTTGTTTCCTTTAGGAAACTTAGATACACTCAAGCTAATTAGAAAAGCCTATGGTAGAAATTTCCATCTGACTCTCAGTACAACACCCTTAATCCTTGTCTCCCCAGCTAAAAATGGTTAACTTCAAAGACAAACACATGGAAATTGTCTTGTGCAGTCACAGCTGTCAAGACATCACATGAGCTAAGAGCCCTTCTCGTTCTAACCACATAAAGACTGTCTCAGTTTGTGACGACTATTTTCAAAGCTTGGTACTATTTTTTCTTCCTCTATGGAGTCTTTTGTGGTAACCCATACATAGGATCAGAGATTTAGAACTCAGATAACCTTAGAGGTCATCAGGTCAAGAGGTTCTTAACTATTTTTTTTATAAAGGAGGTAAGTGAAGCTCAGAAAGGTTTAGTGATCTGCCTAGTGCCACAAAGATAGTAAATGGTAGAACAGGGGCTTGAACACAGGGGCTCTTGATTAGACAGGGTGCTTTCCTATCAATTTTTCTTTCAGAATCACTCATACCCATTCCCTTCTTTCCATCTGCCACTGTCACCATGGAAATTCAGATCCTCATCACCACATGCATAGGCTCCTGAAATAGTCTAACTGATTCCCCTTCCCTTAGTCTTTCTCCACTCCAATACATCCTACATGCTACTGTCAGGATAATTTTCCAAAAATCCTGTCTTACCCATACTCAAAAACTTTTGATGGCTCCCAAATGCCTACCTGATGAAGTCCAAAGTACTTAATCTGCCATTTAAGGCCCTCTGCAATATGGCTCTATCTACCTTTTCAATCTTATTTCCTATGTCCTCCCTTCACAAACCCTAAGATCCAGCTAAACTAATTTATTTGTTCATTCCCCGAACATACCTCCTACTTTCCTTCCTCTACCTTCTTCATCACAAGGTTTCACAAAACTTTCTCCCTCCTAACCTCATCCTCCTTAACGCCATCCTCACTGTCCCAGCCACCCTTTAAGACCTGGCTCAAAGCCTATTCCATAGGTTAATAAGAGAGCAGACTCCAAGGATTTAGTAGAATTCAGTGTTGCTCAGGCATTCACAGAGCTTTATCTTCTCGGATGCCCAAGATATTCTCGCCTACTTGAGTCATCAAGACCAATCATCTTGCTCATCTAGCATTCTTTTCTGGGCCCGTTAATATTGTCAGCAAGACAGCAGTGCTGAGAGAAAGGGATGAAGGTCTAACTCCTCTTTGTGTGTTCTAATAGCATGACTCCTGTACATTGAAAATTATGGGCCCCTGAGAGACCTAAACCTTGGGCAGCTAGGTGGTACAATGGATAGAGCGCTGGCCCTGGATTCAGGAGGACCTGAGTTCAAATTCAGCCTCAGAGACAAAACATTACTAGCTGAGTGACCCCGGGCAAGTCACTTAACCCCACTGCCTAGCCAAAAAAAAGAAAGAAAAAAAGAAAGCTTCCATCCACAACCTTATGTTCCTTCTCTCCATT